GAGCCAAATTCTCGTCATTTGCGGGAGGTTTTAATTTTCTGCTTCAATATGAAGAAATCTGTGGCTGAGGCTCATCGAATGCTCCCAAATACTTATGGTGAGGCAACTATTAGTGAAAGAACGTGTCGTGAGTGGTTTCAACGCTTTAAGAACGGTGATTTTGACGTCGAAGACCGGCATAGCGGTGGAAAAGAGAAGGTTTTCGAAGATGCAGAATTGGAGGCATTACTTGATCAAGACTCGTGTCAAAATCAAGAAGAATTGGCACGATCATTGGGAGTAACTCAACAAGCCATTTCAAAACGCCTCAAAGCCATGGTAATGATTCAGAAGCAAGGAAATTGGGTGCCGTACGAGTTGAAGCCGAGAGATGCTGAACGGCGTTTGTTTGCTTGTGAACAGCTGCTTGAAAGACAAAGACGGAAGGGATTTCTGCATCGCATTGTGACTGGGGACGAAAAATGGGTTCATTACGATAACCCCAAGCGCAGAAAATCGTGGAGAGTTCCCGGTCATGCTTCCATGTCGACGGCCAAACCGAATATTCACGGCTCCAAGGTCATGCTCTGTATTTGGTGGGACCAGCTCGGCGTAGTGTATTATGAGCTGTTAAAACCGACTGAAACAATCACAGGCGATCGGTATCGAACGCAATTAATGCGTTTGAGCCAAGCATTGAAAGACAAACGGCCGCAATACAACGAGAGACACGATAAAGTAATTTTGCAGCATGACAATGCTCGACCCCATATTGCAAAAGTGGTCAAGACATACTTGGAAACGTTGAAATGGGAAATCCTACCCCACCCGCCGTATTCTCCAGACGTTGCTCCCTCTGACTATCACTTGTTTTGATCAGTGGCACACGGTCTGGCTGACCAGCACTTCCGGTCTTATGAAGAAGTAAAAAATTGGATCGATTCGTGGATCGCCTCAAAAGATGACCAGTTTTTTCGACGCGGGATTCGTATGCTGCCCGAAAGATGGGAGAAAGTAGTGGCCAGCGATGGACAATACTTTGAATCATAAATGTATAACCAGTTTTTTACAATAAAGCCTCGAATTTTGGAAAAAAAACCGGCGGAAGCAAAGTTGTACACCTTTAATAAAAAAAAATTTTACAGCAATATTTTTATTTCAAAATAATAAGAAATGAGAGGCGCAGAGTTGAAAAAATGAGATGACCAAATGGTTGACACGATATCTCGAAAACCAATAGCCAGAAATAAAAAAATAAAATTTTTTCTTAAAGTTTATTAGCGTAGCTATCGCGTAAACCAGAATTATTGTAAAATATTGAAAAATTCGGGAGTTGACAAGTGTTTTTAGAAAGTGATGCAAAAAAATGTTTTTTTCGCTCAAAAAAGTTGGATAAAAAATTTAATTTTTAGTGATACTTTATTCTGGTTTACGTAATAACTAGTCAATCTACGAATACAACGCCGCAAGAATTTTTTAAATCTGTCGGTTAGTCTTTCCGAAATCGTGTCAATCGCCAAAAAAAAACAATGTTTCGAGAAAAACGCGTTTAAAGTTTTTTTTACAGATTTTTTAAAAATAATAATTAAACTATTTACTGTTAATCGGCGATTCCTGGTCCATAAAGTAAGCTTTCAATTTTCTGAAACATTTGGCTGTAAAAAAAAGAACTTTTGACTGTAGTATTGTTAATTCTTCGAATTTTTTTCTGAAATTTTGGAAACAAAAGCAAATAGACTTTTGACTGTGGAATCGTTAATTCTTCGAATTTCTTTCTGAAATTTTGACATTGTAGTATGAATAGTGTAATATGACAGTGTAGTATGACAGTGTATTCTTCAAACGTTGTACAATCGAAATATGCAATTAAAGAAAAATCGATTTTTTGAAAATTTTACACGAGAATGTATCATTAAGTTATCTAAATGTTTCTAGATTTCTAGATCCTCCCTTCTTTGGAAAATATAATGCCGTTGTAGCTATAATCATTTTATCAAATAGTGTTTGGTGTATCCTAACTCAATGCTGTATTCTGCCAATGCTGATTGTGACATGTTTCAATCTGACATCCCATCGGTGTTCCTTCATATGCACACAAGTCCGTTTTTCGTACCATTTCCTTTTCCTCGTGGCGAAAAATGTCTCGGTCCAAATTTCCTTGATTTTCCCACCCGCCATTTCGTCGGACTTACCATTTCCACGTTGTTATTGCATTGTTCTCAATAAAATCTCTCCCTCGCAAATCATCGCGTGAGTAGCTATGGAGCGAACCAATCAATGCGCTGGCAACTATAGAGCTAGTCAATTAAAACATCCCATTTAATTATCTCATTAGCCCTTCCTCTTGTTTCTAGTCAATCAGAACGCGCCATTTTCCCAGATTGGCCACGACTAGATCACGCCCCTGGCGCTAAAGGAGTAGAAGGGGTTTGTTTTGACACTCCATGGCTGCCCACATATTACTTTTATATATTCTTATATAACATATTGGTGATATAAGAAGATACGGTATAAAGAATATATGCTCTCCGAATATAAAGAATATATTATAATAAAATTAAACGTCTATGTTTGTATATGAGTATATTTGTATATATGTATACGATATAACTGCGATTCATTTGGTGCTACAAATGCTTTATTTCTTTGTCCTGATCAATCAAACGATTCAAATGATTTGTAGCGCTAAGTGAACTGCAGCCTATGTCTTTCATCTGTAGGTTTGTAGGATGCGGTTAAGACCTTGCACGTACATTGTTCTCTTTTTTCTTCTTATGTTTTGTATTTCTTTTTGGAATAAATTTCTAATTCGTTATTACATATGTCAAATTATACACATGTGTTATAGTACAAATGATTGCTTTTATATAATCATATTTTCTTTTTGTCGGATTTTTTCCTGCCATTGTATTTTTGACAAAGCAATAAAGAAAATTTAACAATTCGTATTTTTTGCGAAGGTTAAGAACGTACGAAGTCATGACCGCGAACTTATGCAATGGGGGGTCTTACCAAGGGGCTGGCCAATATAATTCCTATCCTGCTGAGCACCGCTGGAAGCCGCTGCAACATCACAGACACCAAACAAAGAGACTTACTCACTAACTTTTCCATCAACCAAAATCCTTACTAATCATGTTTATAACAGAAATAGATAAATATAAAGAGAAAAGAGAGTGTGAGAAAGAAAAGAGGAAAAGCAAGAGAAAGAACAAGAACCTTATAAGCAAATAATATTCATGGAATGTTATAAAAATATTGTTAAAAAATAAAATAATATTATAATATTCCAAGAATTCTATATATTTTTTAATATTATGGGAATATTCTGTTGGTGTTATATGTTCACTTCATATATTCTTGGCATTATTTCTTTAATATTCGCGGAACATTATTAAAATAATTATTGATATTAATTATTATTATTATACAGTGAGATTGACAATGAATGATTAAATTCTCGCATAGAGGCAGAAAGGTTATACTGAGTAGAAAAGTCCTGTAATTTTGGCATTAGTTATTACAATAATTTATGAAAATAGTCAAATTCGCTCTGTACCGCCAAATGCAAGCGAGATAGAACAGCTCAGCAAGGCGCGCGTTTGCCGTCGCTAGACACGTGGAATGTTATTGGACACGTTCAAGTCGGCAAACCCGCTAGCTATTTAGAGAAATTACATGAAATTATATTAATCAGGATAAATATTTACTTATATTTATTTTGATTAATTAAATATCATGCCATCTCAATGATGTGACTTTTATATGAAATAATTCGTAAAGGCTACTTACTAATCACAAAGAAAATAGGTAAAATAGGGCAATAGGAATCAAGCGCGGTAATTGTTGCGCATAACAAACAATGTGGATACACACATACACACACACACATACACAACACAAAAATCTTTATTAAATAATCCGCTTACATGTTTCGCCTCATTTTTGAGCTATCTTTAGAGAGAAATTAATTTTATAATTACAATACCTACAAACTAATTCATTCCAATGAGCCACCTCCACATACTTATGGAAACTTTAATATTGAAAAATGACTCTAATGACAATCTAAATTATATTCAAATTTTATAGGATAAAATTATTAAAAAATCGAACGAATTTTTATATCACAATAAGAAGGAAGCTCACAGCTTCCGAGGATTCATTATGTCGCAAACAATTATATTCTATTAATTTATTTTAGTCAAAAATTAGTTTAGATATGGCTCACTGAAATGAATTAATTTGTAGGTATTGTAATTATAAAATTAATTTGTCTATGAAGATGACTAAAAAATGAGCCGAAACATGTAAGCGGGTTATTTAATAAAGACTTTTGTATTATATATCCACATTGTTTATTTTATGCAGCAATTACCGCGCCTGACTCTTATATTGCCCTATTTTCTCTATATCTATTTCCTTTTTATATGAAACATTTGAATGATAGATTTTCTTATGTACTGTACAACTATACAGGGTGTTTGGAAATTAGTGATAAGTTTTTCGCACATGTGGTAGAATGGACTAAATTGAGAAGGAAAGTCCTCTACCATTTTACAATTGTCGCAATGGTTAACGAGTTATTAACTTAAGAAAATAGCCAAATTCACCTAGCCCACCGCCAAATGCAAGCGACAGGATAGTACCCGCCCCGCGCGGCGGACGCGTTATAGCGTGTGTAATTCTCATAGCCTATTTCTCTCGCCCTCCGACAATTTTCTCACCTTTGACAACCAACCCCTGCCGTCGCGAATTGATTGAGAGTGAAAGTAGAAATATTTTGGAAAGAGTGGCACGCTTTCTCGTGCCTGGTGCCCAACTATTTAGTGAAGCTAAGATATTGGCCGAAAATCCGCCTGGCTGTCGAAAAATTACGTTGTCGAGTGGAATCGGTACTTTTACGTAAGAGGAGAGCTAGACGAAGTTGTGCCGTCGCTCGTAAGCACGGTTACAGTATATATAATTTGTAATCAGTTTATATATAATTGAATAGATCTATTAATTTATATATGAATGTATATAACGGGAGAAAAGTTGCATGCATAATTATATGCAATTATGTACTGCATGAAAAATTTTTCGCTAAGTCATAGGAAATATATAAATATTCAATTTTTTATATATAACAATTTTATATGTAACGTTTTTCATATATAGGTTCTTTGTATATAATTATTAGACTGCGGATATGTATGCAAAATACTTAATTGAATATTTTGCATAAAATGTATATTTTGCATAAATTGCATATTTACAAATGGCAACCTCAACCTTTTTACTTTACTTTTTAATAACTCTTTAATGAACAACGATCGACTGCTAAAACTGCCCGATGGTTAATATTCCGTTAAGTATTTTGCATAAATATCCGCAGTCTAATAATTATATACAGGGTGTCTCAGAAAATGTTACTGAAACACAGTGGGGACATAGATTGGATCAAGGGGAACAAAACAGTTTTGTACCATTTTGCAGTTGACGC